TTTCTATGATATTATTCTTCAATTTTTTTAGAATATTTACTACATCCGTTGCACTTGCATTGTTTTTTGCCATTGCTTGAATAGAGTTATAGAAAAGAGAAAGTTGACCATGAATAAACCATAGATAAATTTCTCCTCGCTTGTCAGTAAAAAAATTTTTATGAGGTTTGGACATAAATCTTGGCTACAGAAGTAAGCTTTCAAACCTTCAAAAATTAGCAATATTCTTTCAATTGTGCTGGTAGCAAGGAAAGAAATCGTGTGCTACCATGTTGTAATACCTTTTTGTATTCTACTTCTGCGAATTCACAAAACTCTTGAAGCTTAGTTACTCGTACTGTGTAAATATGAAAATATTTGTATATTAACACAATTAAAGCTTCAATTTCGATAGATAAGACATCAACTGCTGTTTGCTTACAATTATAAACTATGTGTGCACCACAACCAATTCCATTGATTTCTCTGCCTAATTCATTCTTTATTCTAGCAAAAACATTATTGTTTCCTCCTCTCTTTACTCCACCAAAGTTTGTGTTACAGTTGTCTCCACAAAATCCGATAACTTTTTTTATCCAAGTTGTGTTCCTTTAAAACTGTCATAATATGGTTTGTAAGTATTTCAGCTGTTTCTCCCGGGACTGACTTAAATTCTAAAAGCTTAACTTTTATTCCAAATTCTGGTTGAAAGTAACGTATAATTACAGATACAATTTTTATATCTTTTTTGTTAGAAGCATCCATACTTACGGTAATAAAGTTGCATTTATTTAAATCATTACGAAGTTTGTAAAGTGCTAGAGGAGCTAGGATGTTTAAAATAATAGTCTCACACTTTGTTTTACCCAGGGTAAACTTAGGCTCAAAAAATGTGGAAATCAATTTAGAATTACAAATATTAGAATTGAAGCTAAGATTATGATTTACAGTGTGGTAAGCGTATGTTGCCTCTTTGGCCGCCTAATACAATTCTTTGTTATGTGGTTCAAAACTTTTGAAATATGAAGTTAATTTCGAAGAACCAGCCGATACCAACAAACTATTTTTATGTGTACTTGATTTTAAGTGATCTTTTATATCAGCACGCCCTCCGTGAGATACTGAAAATTCTGAACCACAAGAACATTTTACTCGATCAACTTGATTAAGTACATTTTTTAAAAACGGATATTCATTTTGTAATTCATTATTAAAAGTACACGATCTTTTAGGCATCTTAGTAAATAAATTTCAACGAAAAAATATAACCGCATAGACACTTGCGTACGTCGTACACACCCAATCACGAACAAGACTGACAAAGATGATAATGAAATTGGATTTATATTTTATGTAACTACCTAATGGCTCAATTAGTAAAGGCTAATCGTATAGAATGAAAAATAAACCTGTAATCATGTAGATAAAATTTAGATAATATAATACGATCATAAATTATAAATTATAAATGATCAACTAAAATTGTTATCTACAAATCGCCGATTTCTCGTTATTAACGTTATTCTCGCCGACCCATCATTCATTATTAAATAATGCAATATTCAATATTATATTTTCTCTCGGCTTCCATTAACCGGGACAAAATGAATGACCGCCCGGGACACCGGGGCATGCTGTTAAAACCGGGACTGTCCCGGTCAAACCGGGACGAATGGCAAGCCTAATTATGATGTATATCAGTTTATAGTGTAAATTATAATACGAAAATGTGCCTACTTGTCTAAACTCCAGAATCCAAATAGATTGGTACGTTATTGTTATATATTTTTACAAGTGACAACAGAAAGCCAAAAACTGAATGACGTATAGAAACTAGTGTCTAGTAGTATATTGCCTAGTTGGAAATATCTTACTGTAACGTCCTTAGTTCAATAATAATAATTATTATTTATATTAGTTGATGACAGCTGCAGCAACGGGCCTATACGCACAATAATAATACCCGAAACCCGAATTCCAAGATAAACACCATTTGGCGGTGGTTAGCGCGATGATGTGAGAATAAAGTGGACTTCCCCACTGTTCAGTCATACAATAATAATTATACTTATGCTAGATTTAAATAAAAATATCAGTATTATAGTATTTATATACTTTTATTTGTATGTATGTATAATGTACATGTTTAATAGCGTTAATAGTAATATTTTTCATCGGCTCATTTACGACAATATAAACAGCGACCCACCGGGAAAATCCCGGTGTCCCGGTGGTCCTATCCGCCCCTGATCCTATATGTTACAATAGAAAATAAAAATAAAATAATAATTAACATAGGTAATTAAAGGCGATCGGGCAGTCTCATGAATCGAATGATATAATCATATATTTGGTTTTTGTTTTTATCTATTTTTACTCTTTAGTGCGGGCCACGGCCTTAGAAGATTAGTCTAAGGTCGTGGTGAGGGCATTTATTTTTTTCCAAAATGACGATATCGTCGATCGCCAATATTAATAACAAACCGTACAATGTATAAAGTATAATACACCAAATTCACAGACATTACTATTTATATTTTTCCAGAAATGACGACGTTGTCCCTTATCATAACCACCATATAATCTTTAATTATAAAAATAGTTTTGATATTATAAATCGTAAAATTCATTTTCCAATTAACGTAAATTGAAATTCACATAGAAATTATTTTGAATATCAATCAGGATGAACGTGGTATTCCAGTGAAAAAATATAGTTGGGGTACGCAAAAAAAAAAAAAAATAGTAGAGGAGCTCCGTCTCCCTGTGTACCCCTCCTCCCAATTCGAACACTGATTATGATTATTATTAAATCATGGATATGTTTTCGGGTTAAAACTTTGACTTGTATTATTTTAGCAACCAATGTAATTAAAGAAAGATAATGCTTTTCTGTTCTCACAATTCTTCTTAATATCCATCTAAAAAACATATCCATGTTATAAATCTATGTAATGTACAGGGTATTGTTGCCCCGAGCAGCTGAATATTTTTTATATTTTCAATATTTAATGATATAATATTTTTGAAGTGAAACTTCTTTACAAAATAAAAAGTGTATTTCAAAAAAAAATATATATATATATCGTCAATCACGGCGTCACGACATACACACACATACTTGGTAACGGTCGAGTACTGTCGATAAATCCAAAGATTTACAAATAATCTACCCTTATGTTGACGTTGCACTTAGAATGTTTTTTGTGTACACCAGTTTATGAGTTTATGGGTACCAAATTATGAGTTCGAATTTTAGTTTGATAAAATTTTTTAATAATTCGGTTCAACTCCAAAAAAATCAGGTTTGATCTATCATTAAAATTCACATATTTTTATTCTCTAAATGCCTAGTCACTTAGTGAAAACCATTTTTTATTTGAAGTTTATTGATCCATAAATAGAAAAAAAAAAATTAAATTAACGTTAGAATTCTTTAAATAAATATTAACATTAAAAAAATTCAACTTTAATAATGTAATACAAATGTATTACTACACTTTACATAAACTTCTGAAACAAAAAATTTTGCAGATTTATTCACACATGATTAAGGTACTCTTTAATATTTTTTTCATTGTAGTAGATGTTTTTATAAACACCATATTTTTCAGAATTTATTTAATAATGCATAAAATACATACTATCAAACTCAATTAACTAGTTAATTCAAAATAATGGTGTATTTTATCTGTAACTTATTTTTTAATTTATGTATGTAATGTAATATAAACTGTTACATAATTATTTCAGGAATTATTTTTTATATTTGAATTTAGACATTTCAGCAATAAAAAGTTTAAATTAATTTTATTTTTAAAACAATTATACTAGAACTAAAAATATAACAGTTTTTGCTGTAAATTTGAGTACAATTATGTCCACATAAAAGATATTTAATTTTTACAATACAATTAACTACAGCAACAATAATTACGAACTATAAAATTTAATAAATGCGTGATTAAAATTTTTATATCTGGCACTACATAAATTTCTTGAATTGTATATAATAAAATAATTATTTTAAATTGATCATAAAAATTAAACTTAATAAAAATATACATTTTAAAGGTTACAAGTCAATAAAATGGCTATAACAAATAACTTAATAGTATTATTGAGTATATAAGTATTGTTAGTGCCGAAATCATTGAAAAAAGATCTATTAGCAAATAATAAGTCATAAAACAACAATATTTTTAACACTTACAATAATTATAATGAATATATTTTAATAAATAATAAGGAACTATTAAATTTTTTTTTGACATAGCATATGTAATTCTTTCCAATCATTATTTTTAAAGTAAATTTTAAATAACAAACTAAATTTATTTAAATCTAGAAAAGGATTTCTACAAATATGAATCTATTTCAACTATAAGGTAATATTTTGAATTGCATGAATTTCAATAAAAAGTATTAGATAGTATTTTAATAAATATAAATCCTAACATTTTGTTTGTTTTAAAATAGTCAATTCAGATAGTGAGTTATTTTATTTAATAATTATTGATTTTAGGTTTAATATTTTAAGTCATTTAAGACATTTAAGTCAACTTAATATAATATATTTTTATTGATACAGTACAGAAAATGTACTATAAGTACAATTATTTTCAGTTCGACTATTAGTTCCTTATTTTGATATTAATTATTGAGAATAATTATTGTTCAGATATCTAAAAACGAGCGATTGTAAATTCCGCCCGAGGAAAATATCCAAGTAAAAAAAGCACATGTAAATTCTGTACGGAAAAATATTTTTAAACTATGCGTTCAGTGACTAATATGTGGTAATATGTGAAATGTATATTTATTTAAATACCTACTTAATACTTTTATAAACATTTTTTTATATTTAAATACCTACTTATAAATTATAATGATTAATCTATGTTATGTCAGTAATAATATGATTAATAAGATACATTCAGAAATTTGTTATTAACAGTAAATAATAAATGTATTCTTTATAAACTTATTGGCTATTATATCTATACGGTTTTAATTGAAAAAATAAAAAAAAAAAACATTAAGCTTTTAAACTTCATCAAGTAATAAGAACTTCTTATTTATAATTTATAAGTTATATGTATGAAGTGTTTATTAATTATCAATTTTTTTTGGGCGAAATTTACATGTACCTTATTTTACCTGTAGTTAATTTTGGGAGGAATTTACATGCGCCCCTAAAAACATTAATCTTCTTATGCTTCACTTCCAATAATTGGTTCATCTGTTGGATAGTGTACAACAGTTCTTAATCTTCTAGGTACAGCTCTTAATAGATTATTGTATATGCACATTCCAATAAGTAACAACAGGAAACCAACCAGCTAAAAAGATAATTTTCATTATAAATAAAATGTCAAATTTATTTAAATATTTTTAAATTTTGTTATCAACAAATATTAGTTTCATATTTCTATAAATTATAGAATTATTACTATAATATAGTATAACCTCAATAGTTAGAATTTGAAGGAAAATAAAAATGTAGTTCTAGTTATCAAAACTTAAAAATTTAATAAATCTTATTTTAATTTATATTTTATTAGTTGAAAGAGTTGAACTAGACAACACCCAAATGTAAGATTTATTTTTATAAGTATAAGTTTATTGTCAATACCAATTGGGGCACATCATTTGGCAATTAAACAACTATTTTAAAGATAAAATAAACATAAATTAAGTATCATTGTTTAATGTACACAAAATGCAAAGTGTACCATAGTTTAATTAATCGTAGTAAAGTATATCTTAAATGTTTTTTTTATGGTTAGCTTTTGAATCTTACGAATATTAAATATTAAATTCTACAACTTTAAACAAGAGATAAAATTAATGTAGAATGCAAGATGATGGGCTAATGGAATTATACGTTTTACTTGCTGTAAAAAAAAGAAATTTGAAAATATATGCATATAAAATCCTTTCCTATCTCCAGATATCTAACAAACAATTTAGTTATTTAGTTAACAAGTAAATTCTTGAAATTAAGATGAAATGATTTATATACATTGCGAAAAATTGATGAGAAAATGTATTGTCAAAATTGTGATATTCTCAAGTAAAACGGAGTAAGTAAAAACAGCTGTCTTCCATACTCTTTCTACTTCTTAATAAATTAAATATTAACTGATAAAAGTAACTCATATGAAAGGTTACAGTGAAAATTCATAATAGCCAATATTTCTAAAATATTCAGAACTGCAGTTTAAAGTTTTTTTTTTCAAAATTATACTAAAACGATACCAATATTTACCCTTAAATAATTTATGCTTGTTTGAGGAGAAATCAACAGATGTATTTATTACTCAAATTTTTTTAAACAGCTCTCAATGTATATTAATGGGATTAAAATAACATTGTAGCAATAAAGAAATGCTAAGAACTTTTGGTTTTTTTAATTAGTTAAATTAAAGAGTTAATTACGTTTATGATTTACAATACTACATTATACAACATGGTATATTTCTTATTCATGAAATATCAACAAAAAAAAACTTTAATAATAATATTAATCAGCAGATCTCAAATTACTAATTTTATACAATCAAGTATAGTGTTGTATTACTATATATATCGCACTTCTAATACTTTTTCTGATTTGGGATAAAATTTAGTTAAAATATAAATGAATAATATTACCTGAAGAGGATGGAATTCTTGCCAGCCAACTGCTAATGAAAAAGTCCAAATGAAGAATGTTCTTACAGAGTCTAAAACCATTCTAGTAGTCGCAGATATTTCCTTAGCAACACTTATACCAGAAAAGTTGAAGTAGGCAATACTTATTATGTTACCTAGAAAATAATATAAATTACATTTTATACTTCAAACAATTATTTATTATTAAATTAATATTTTTACCAATTAATGCAAGTAGAATAATTTTATTATTCATAATTTGAGTAATAGCTTCAGGAAAATCTTCAATAACACCACGAGAATTATTATTAGCAAAAATGTCAACTTTAATATAGTAAAATGGTACTAAAAGAAAACTCATCATCAGAAATCCAAATACACCTAAAAAATAAAAAAAATTGAAATTACTAAATCTTATGTAAAATAAAAATTGCTTTTAGATGCCATAGAAATTTAAAAAAAATGTATTTCCAAGAATATTTCTTGGAATTTATTTTTACTAATTAATATAAACTAAAATGTACTGTCAAGTATAATTGAATATAAATTTTAACAAATTATATATTATAATAATTAATTAAAAACAAATTTAATATGCTATTATTATTATGTCATTAAGAAAATGTAAAATTTATGATGTTGTTTTTATCTAGTAATGTAAATAAACAATATTAAAACACAAATAATACAGTATTTAATAAAAAATTTAAATAAATATTTTATGATTTAATTTATATTTGCATAAATGTTATTGAGAAAAAAAGCTTAATTTAACTGAAAATTATTTACTTAAATTTAATAAAATTTATATTAATTTCAAACTATTTTCATGATTAATACCTCTATTCACTTAGACATTGGATTAATTTTATTTTGTACAATAATAATTAATAATGTTTAATAATTTATATGAGCTATCAGATTTTGTCAAAATGTATTATTAAGTTATTATTATAGTTACATTTTGAATTAATATAATTGAAATTAACATATAAATTATCAATAGTTTATGAATTATTTGCAAGAGGCATAAAATTTAATATAAAATACAAAGATAAATAAATCTGAATTAAAATTACTGAGCAAACAGTAATAAGAAATTTTACATGTCCATGATTAGTATTCAAACATATTAAGTTAATAATATATTAAAATAATATTTATTATGTGAAAATTACTATAGATATTCATTAACAATAATAAATTATATTATTTGTTGTTTAATCAATTTTCTAAAAATGTTTTTTTTCTTTTTTTACATTTTATTGTTTAAAACTTTAAACTTTTTGGAAAAATTAATAATCAATCAAAAGGTATTGACATTTTTACAATGTTTTTGAATTTATATGAATGGCATACTGCATTAAAAGCATAGTTATATTTATATAATATGAATTTAATACAAATATAAATCATATTTTAAGAGGAGGAAAATCAGTGCCGTATTTCCTAGTAAACACTATAAGCTAGTGCTTAGGGCAGCAATTTTTTAAGGACAGCAAATAATTTTTAGTATTACATTTTTATTATATGTAACTAGAACTAAAATAAATGCAACTAATTATAAAATATTTTATTTTATTAAAGCCGATGCGTTAAAGACACTAACTATTTAATTTAGAATATAATTTAAGAATGTTTAAAATTTTTTTATTACCATGTTTTTTATCATTATATTTTATATCATATTTTTATAATTAAGTTTTTCATATGAATGTATGAATGAATTCTTATAATAGCTGTATATTTTTATTTTACATCATTAAAATTTTAAGTAATAAAGGAAACAACTGTAATTGTATGCTTTAATAACATTTATTAAACTAAAAAAATATTAATATTAAAATGTGGGAATTTGTTTAGTGCTTAAAGCAGCACAGGGGAAATAATGAATATTTGGACCTATATTATAAATTTTAAATTGAGTGATATATATAAATATTTAAAACTGATAGTAATTTTACTGTTTACAACTTTTAACAATAAATGAAGAAATATTGATACATAAAGATATATCTTTACTATTATTCTAATGATAAAATCAAATTTAAATACCTTCCCAACCAACAGCCTGTAATGGTGGTATGTCATTTGTGACAACATATTTCTCTTCATATACCATTTGAGCAGCTGTTATAATCTGAGCAAATAAGATCAATGAGTCACCTAAAAATAAAATACAATTTTGATAATTTATTTTTTAATTTTATGTTCAAGTACACTTATTAAGAAAAAAATATTAATGCATAAAATATTATTTCTATGTAAAAGGTAATTAAAATAAAGTAGGGAGAAGCAATAGCAAATTACTACTTATAGAAAGAAGCTAAAACTAAAAATGAAAATTATAGAGTATGATAGGAGAAAATCGAGAGTTTATCAAAAAACTAGAATTGGATGTTTGATAAATAAGGAACCGAAGATGAATGAAAAGATATAATCTGGAAAGAAAAAAAAAGGAAGGCCAGTCAGAGTTGGTTCAGGATTTATTCAGATGACAAAGGGGAAGAGTGAAGATAAAGGCAAAAGGGATTTTAAGGGAGAAGATAATAGCTATGTTAAAAGCGAGAGAAGGCAACTATTGAAATAGATAGAGAAGAAAACTTCGGACAGTAGAAGATAACTAGGAAATTATTACAGTTCTAGATTACAAAATGAACAGGAAGCAAGGAAAACCATTTGGTTTTCCAAGATTTCCAAATGTTTTTCTTGCGAAAGTTGTCTGAGGAAGGAATTTAGAGGAGAAAAAAATGTTATGAACAGTTAACTGATCAGTTTTCTAATTACTGGCAATGCCAACATGACTGGGAACCAAGAGAAACTGTAGATTTTTACAGCTGGTAAGACAGGAATTTTATAAGAAAGATGAGCAGTGATGATAGGGGCAAAGAATAGATTTTATCTGAGAGAATAAATAACATGTTTAAAGATAAGGAAAAATAAAGAATAAGTCCCCTTGAATATTAGAACGTAGAGCATATGTAGTTGGACCAATAGTAAATAAAATAGAAAAGGTGTTTAAACTGAAGAATTTATCCAAGTTTGTGATGAGACTAAGATGGGAGGCTGACTAAGTTTAATAGGGATTATTGAATTGTTTTTTTCAGTAGATTTGAAGAGGAAGGAAGAAAGATATATGGAAATACATTTAACACATTCAATATCATTATTGGATACTCTCTGACAATGGATACAAATCATTTTAGATGGAATCCAACAATAATTATATATATTTTCAAGTTATAAAATACTTAATTGATAGTGCATGCCCATAAAATTTGAATTGGCCACTTAATATATATTTTTAAATAAGTTGTATGAATCAGTTTTATGATTATTGTAAGGTTTTTCAACAACCATACAATATCAAAAATACAGATCTTATTTTATTTTTTATAATTGAATGGCAATATAATTTTTTTGTACTCAATAGTACATTACAATACCATAACAAGTATTCTTAATAGTCTATTAATTGAATCTAAATATCTTTACACTTAAACAATGTGTAACCGTGTCAAACTCACCACTCGATGCGCTACCATCATTATTATAATTGTATGTTTTTCCATTGTGTTATTAGGCCAATGTTACTGAAATGTGATAACTAGGGAACGGATTTATATGTAATAAAAATACAGAAATATTTACATATATATGTAAGTATAATTTATAAAATATGTGCTAAAAACATCCAAATATGTGGGGGGAAAAAAAGTGATTATTATTATTAAATTATCAAAATGATTTGTTGCATTGAATTATTACAATATCTTTTAAATTATCAAATGTTAAATGTTGCCTATTAGGTATCAAAATATTTTTAAAACGGCTAAATTATGGTTTCATATCAATCGATGTATTAAAAGCATATTTCAAGTGCGTACTATCAAAAGGCGATAATTCCAAATTTTTAGAAGGGTGTCTGCCACTCATTATGTCATTGATTGTTTTAAAATCAATATTGCCTGGAATTTTTTTCTGTAACAGCATGAATTTTCTTTTTTACAACATCTATTGGTCCGCTTACGAGTTTTAATCTCTGATTCAACAATTTGCATACTATCATTTGGGGACATATTTTTTATTAATAATTTTATTAAATTATTTTTAATTAAAATTAAATTATTTTCAATGTTTCATTTAGCATAATATTTTGAGTTTTTCCAATAGCGATAGAAGTTTCTGGATCTAATTTTGAAATAATTTCTTGTATTTTCGTAGGAAGAAGACGTATGAATGATGAAATGATAAAAATAAGTTTAAAAATATTTAAAAATTAGTGAAATATGTAAAAATATGTAATTATTATACCAAAATATGTAAAAATATGTAAAATAAAAGTATCATCATTTTAATAGGAATGATTTAAATCATAAACATTTGTTATCAAATCTTAAATATCTCGTTTTAATAAAAATATGCATTTACATATAAATCCGTTCCCTAGTGATAATATGTTACCATACTACTGAAGTTCATACTTTTAAAACTTATAAACTTTTATAATAAGTATAATATAAATATAATATATAATATATATATAATAAGTATTTTATAATAATTTATAATAAGTATATTATATTTCTTTTAAATAATAATTGAATTTTTCTCCTGGCCCATCTGACAACATCCAAAAGTCCCAAAGTTAAATATTAGTATAATAATATTATAGTACATAAACTACATTTACATTTAACACATTGGTGACGAGGGGAGTCAGTGGTGATATCCGACTAGTTTTTCTTATTGAACAATGGGTGTCACCGGTGTTAAGACCAAAAACATGTTCGCTACTATATTCTTAAGTTTGAGCTACTCTGGTCAGTGATTATAATGAATCAAACTTTAGATATTTACTATATTATAAAAATTAATAATTTGTGCATTTCAGGCAATACCTAAATAAATGTAAAATATAAACTTATTCTTTTGACTATAATAACAAATTATATTTAATAACATATTATAAAAGTTACTTCCTTGCAATAAAAATAATAAATAAAATATGATCAACTTATAACCATTTCAATATAAAATAACAAAATATAAAATTTGCAATAAGAAATTAAAGTATAAAATAATTAGGAGCTAAAGTTTTTGTCAAAAACACTGTAAATAATATGGTTTTTCACAGTTTTGACAAATGGTTAAAACCATTTTGCATTTTTTCTTGGACTCATTTGGATCCAATGTCAACCTTAGATTTTCATAACAATCTACGTATCTTCTCCGTTTTTTTTTATTTGAATGTCCAGCTTTGCCTTCTATCTCAATCAAATTATGTGGTCTTTTTACAAATTTTATAGAAACTGAAGAATTTGTAAACTTTGAAGAAATCTCATCACTGAGTAGTTCACAAATGAGATTTTCGCGGAATTTTTTTATTTGCATTTTACTATTATTTATGACACTTTTATAAACATTCCATGCATTTACAACTGCCGTACTAAAGAGAAACCACTTAATGGTTTTTCTAAGAACACTATGGTATCTAGACATTTGGTCAGAGATATCTAAGCCTACACATATATAAACCTATAGTTACAATAATTCATAATTATTAGGAAGCTCGGGTGTCACCGGTGACGCCTAGCCGCCTTGAAAAAAGTATTTTTCCATTTTATTATTTATAGACGAGGGTATCGCCGGTGACACCCACCGTTATTATTACGAAAACGTGTTTGCTATTATCACAGATTATATTCATATAATTTGTGCTATTATCAGACAAGTCGATTAGTATCAAAATTATTTACTAGATGTCACTACAAGTTATTTTATTACAGTTTTCATTTTATAGAGGCTAAGAATAGATAGTAAAAACGGCGCCTTGTCGCCATATTAAAAAAATAAATTATTATTATTAATTAATATAAATAATTTAGTTCCAAGATAATTAAGTTGGATACATGTTGATGTCGGTCATATGATGGGGTATCATACTGTATGGCCGACATCGTCGCATTTCCGATGACATCCATGTTTTTTCAAATATTGACATGGCATGTAGTGTAGTACACTAAAATAAAGTTGGTATTTTATGTGTTAAGGGAATCATTCATGTCTTAACTGATATATCTATGTATTTTTAGGAGTTGAAGATGGCAATGTCAAAAGTAAAGAAAAAAAAGGAAATATTTGGTAATGATAAAGAGTTTTAAATGTGCATCATGTACATATTGAAAAGCAAGTGCCTGAGGCAGCTCTCAATATGTAATTCTATGACTGATTGATCCAAAAGAAAATATTGGAATATTGGGAAAATATGAATTTGCAAACAGAATGGGATGCATGCATATGTTAATAGGTTAAAATAAATTTTTAATTTTAAATATTATTTCAGCTGAATATTAAATAAATAATTACCAAGAATAATTTGTTTAGAATTTTGAGAATCTGATCCAGGAGACAATAAATCTGATATACCAACTGTGCCCAATCCAATAATTATTGTAAATATTCCTAGCCAATGCCGTATAGATACTTGTCGATGAACAAATATTTTTGAAAAAATAGCAGTAAAAATTATCACAGAACCTATAACAAATATAGAATTTTAAGTCCAATTATTTTAACTTGATATTAACAAACACAATCAAATAAAATGCAATTAAGTACCTCTTAACATTTGAAAACTAGATGCATAGGTCATTGTTAGACCAACATACATAAGTGTAGTAGCTATCATGTCAAACATTGCAGGAATAAAGAATAAAAATGGATTGAATTGTTGATTGCCTTTAACAATTGGACTATCTTCAATAGAGTACTATAATAATTTGAAGTATACATTTAATAAACTATGATTAAATATATAAATCTTTTATCAAAAATGATTAATTATTATGTCTTATATTTTATTTTTATTAATAATATTTGTAATATTAAATCATTTTTAATATATTGTTTATATATTTAATAATACTTATTATTATTTTAAAACCATGAAATAGAAATGTTGTAATAATTAGTACTTTGAATTAATAAAATAAATAACCTGTTTTTTAATATGATACATATATGCAAGTTTGAAGAATAACAAGCATAAAAATTCTCCAAGAAACATTGTTAATGACTGAACAAAAGGATGGTCAAAATTACGTTCTTTACCATCTGAACCAATAGATCTAAGCTTGTCAGCCCATCTAAAAACAAAATCACATGATGAATATATAAAGTTTTAAAAGTAATTTACATAATAAATACTAAAACAAAATAAAAATAATTGCATAATAGATAATATTACTATCACTAAAAATAAATTAAGAAACTATACTTTTTGATAATATTAAATCTTTGTGAAATTTTTTTAAAAAATATATTAGTTGAAACGTATAAAGCAAACTTCTTAAATAATATTCTAAATAGAACATGGCGAAACATAAAATACTAGTACATATATATTATATACTACTGAATCAAGGTTAACTATTTTAGTGACATACAATTGTTACATGTTTATATATTAAGGTTTATATTAAAAAAATATGAAAATATAAAATACAAAAATACATTTTTCAGATAAAATTATTAAAAAATGTAATTATTCCTAAATTAAAATTGATAAGCCTATAAATACTGAGTATTAAATGATAATCTTAATAAAGGTAAATTTTAGTTTAAAATAATTAAATATTTTTACATTTGATTGAACAACTAACGTTTAAAAGATACATTGTTCATATAACTTCTTAAGTCAATATTTAATGACTCAATAATTGAAAACATTAAATTGGCCACTATGTGTAATTATGTACATTAAATTACAATTGTGAAGTTAAACAAAAAAAATTATCAACTGCCTCAATTATAGGTAGAAAATTAAAAGTTAAACAATAGAAAATCAGTTAATGTTTGAAGGCTACTTTATTTAATATAAATTATTATTAAAATTATGCAAACTTACTTAACGCTAAGTGTGTTTATAGATCCTGTGATGACCATTCCAATGGTCAACAGTAGTTGATACGTCGTATACATGGTAACTGTGATAGACAATTAATCAAAAACCTAGAGCAGATCAAATGACAATGTACCTATGAGGCTGTACAATAAAATTTTAATAACAATAAAACGTTTGCACAAGGATTTCCACTTAATTATTTTATATATAGTGCACAATAGCACTCTGAAATCGTATCACTGACGAATTTGTTCTTTACACAGTAATTTAAAGGCAGCAGTATAAATACAGTATAGTAATATACTTACCGTGCTTATATCTGATGGCGGACGTGGTAAGTTACGAGACGAACGTTGCTGTCGTTTGATCCAATTACTGATCCACGTTTAGTATTGGTGACAACGAATGCAGCGGCGGTGAGTGGGGTACAGACGAGCGCATGTGTGGTCGGGTAAAAGGTATTGAGCTCTTAATGTGTGTGTTTTATTGTTTACTGTTGTTCGAATTGAATGCGACACGCCAATGAACGACGTAAACAAATTAACTCGCCGTTGACACTGAACAATATCAACTATTGAATAATCACGAAATATCAGTGACGACGGGAGGAGACGAGAAAACAAACAAAAAAGATAAAGGGAAGAAAAACAACATCCGTCGACCCACCACCAATCGGTTATCATCAGCTGAAGTCATTACGTAAAAAAAAAAAATAATATATACCACGATTAAAGATATACAATCAATCTGAAAGTCGTTTATTATAGGGCGATGTGCAACCTGTATATTTTTAATCGTGATATATACTAACACCATACAAGGACGACGTGCTGATAACGCCGAACGTTTTCAACCGTCGTTGCTGTTGCTCGTATAGACAACAGCTGACCACCTCCATCCTCCATATCAACTGTTGTGGAACGAGCGGATCATTTCCACTCTGATTCATGTATATTATTATCAATTCTCCGTTATCACTACAACATATAACATTTTTCGGTTGATGCTCTAGTCATTTTACTATATATATATATATTATTTGTATTTTGTGTATTATGTATCTGAAGAAATTTACAAAGACAAGTAAAACTATGGGTCTAGCAGTATATGCGGAAAATATTTTTGTATCTAATTAATTCTAATGATAAAAATAACAAGATTTAGATAGGTACTTTGAAATGTATTCGATTTATGTTTATTTTTTCAAGAAAATACTGATATCTACTACTACTAAATATTTGTTTATATGAGGGGTTCACGGAAAAAGTGTATAGTGTAAAAACACATTTTAATTACTACTTGGGCTTGAAAGTCAATGTCCCGAAAAATATGTATTAATTATTCAAATGCCTAGATATATAATACTTTTTCTAATTAATTTTAATGTATTTACCTAAGTTTATAAGCAAATCAAATTTTGATATCAAATAATAATTCAAATGATCAAATTAATAGTATAATTCTATTTTTATGAAAGAGTTAGCTAATATTTATTTTTGTTACATATAAGGCAACAGTTTTCACCATTTTGTTTTGTTTTTTTATCTATATTGCACAATAAAAAATTAATAATTATATAAAATAGTACTAAACGGTAACACAACAATAATAATTATCTTTTTTACATAATGCAGATAATATAGTAAAATTATAAGAGCATCAACCGAAAAATGTTATATGATATAGTGATAACGGAGAATTGATAATAATGTGCATGGATCAGGGTTGTTTTGATCCGCTCGTTCAAAAATCGGGAAAACTACCCGTCCCATCCCCGCAACATTCAGTAACCGGTTGGCACCAGCGCCGCCCGTTTTTCCATCACGGCCGTTAGGCTGTCTTTTGATCTGGTCTCGTAGCGTTCGGAGCTGCCTTCTCTGGTGCCAGGGGCACTCGTGCTGTTTTGAGATCGTGATCGTCGGATCGTCGAATCTGTGCCCTTTTTCTGTGTGAGCATTCGTACGGCAACTTTGTTTGGTGACTTATAGTGCGACGCCAAGCACTCCGTCTGACATCGTTACCACGACCGTCACGAGCGTCCTGTGTCCAATTCATCACGTGGTCGGCCATTTTTGTACGTGTGGGTTGCGAGTCCTCCACACTTCCTCGGAGGAGTCCGTTGCCAGTGTCCAGTGCCCAATTGTGTTGCTGAGTGTTCCTAATTAGGAACAATTCCTGGAGTTCCAGAAGTCGTCTATCGGTCTTGGTGGTCGTCGCACGTGCCCTGAGCACGATCGCGTGGGTGTAACCGAACGAACCCTCAAGCCGAACCAAGGTATAACCGTCCGACATTGTAACGCGCTGAACATTATATTTTTTTTTCTGTAATTTATTTTGTATATTCTTTTTATATATATTGGCCGCCAGCCCTTATTGTGCTATCCATATTGTAATTGTTATTATTATTATTTTTATATGCACTAATTTTCAGAAATGTTAGCATTCCTCTACTATTATTACGTTATAACTATAATGCTTAACAAGTTTTGGGGACTCTTTTTTTTTATTTAAAGTAAATAGAGTCCTCCTTCTTTAATTTTGCCAAGTCAAGCACTGCTTATCGTCCCCCCTTTTAACTTTCACTGGATACCGATAGTATACCTATCAATATTATAGTATTACAATCTTACAGAATATTATAATTCATCTGATAATGTTATAGTATACTTAATACGCAGTGACGTATTTAAGGGATAATGAAGATATTTGAAAGGTCTGCAGTCCCCCGAAATTTCGAAAAATATTTTTTAAGCCTGCTTATGACCTATTAGGTGAAAATTGTGAAAGTTTAATATGTGGTATTAAAAATGATTAGTAATAAATTTTTCGTGTAATGTAAAGTAATGTTACTATTCGGTATTCGTTAATAATAGCGAATGTCCGCCAATTAATTAACTACGTTTTTTTAGGGTATCTACGTTTCCTAATTATTATTTATAAACCTGTTGTGGGACTCTAAGCCCTATTAAATTTCGTAAAATGTATAGTTATCAAATATAATATTTTATTATTATTATTGTAGGCACCATGTTTATTGAGTTTTCACGTTGTTAACGCAAGAAAATACAGTGGCTCGTCCATATGCATGGAGAAATACAATCATGATTAAATTATACATCAATGAGGTATTATGGTAATGGTGATTTGATAAAATTAAAATTATTTTTGTTCTATACCGTAGGAGTATAAATTGTATTACTTAGCAATCAGTTTAAAATATTATTGGTAATAAGTTATTACCTATAATATATTAATATTTAATGATTTAATGATACTAGACTGAAAAAAGGGATTAATTGCTATTATGGATTAGGAAAAGTACTGAGCGCTAAAGCTGTTTCAAATAACCTTAAAGTTCAAATATATATGACGTTGATACGCCCAGTTGTGCTATACGGCTCGGAGACTTGGCCTCTCAGGAAAGCAGAACAAATGAGGTTGGAGGTTTTCGGAAGGAAAATTCTGAGAAGGATTTTTGGACTATGCAAGGATGATCAAACCGGAGAATAGAGGAAACGACATAACCAAGAACTCCAGAACCTTTTTCAACGCCCTTACATCACAAAAGAAATTTCAGTCAGAAGAATGAGATGGGCAGGATATGCATGGAGGAAACAAGGATTAATAATAAGATCCGTAATCGAAAACAACCCAGCAGGAAAATGATCCTTAGGCAGACCACGTTTAAGATGGGAGGACTGTGTTATTAAAGATGTAAGAAAAATAGAAGATAGTTTGCAATGGAGGGAAGAAGCGGAGGATAGAAATAGATGGAGAAGTATATACTTGGAGGGCTGGTCTTAAAGGCCGTTATCCCCAAAAAAAAAAAATATTAATATTACTAATAACTTTTAGCCATATAGCGATAATGTATAAGATAATTACTATCAATTTACAAATAGTATGTATTATTGTTTTATTATTTCATTCATCAAACATACTTAAAAAATTATATTTAAGTTTAAAATATTTAAAAGTACATAACTCGTATTGTATTATTTATAATAAAATAAATTGTAGCAATAAAATATATAACCGTATAACGATAACGTTTCAAACAGATGTTAATTTTGTGTGATTCCTTAAAATACAAAATAAATAATTTGTTTATGTATAAATATGTTTTGGAGGTATATAATGCATTTATTATGCAATACAAAAACTGAAATCAAGGGCGTATTTGAGTTGAGGCCAGGGGGGGGGAACTAATTTTTCTTCAATACAAACTTAAAAATAATTTACAGTTCATTAAAGGGGCATACCCGAGGGGAGGTTTTCGGGTCCGTACCCCTCATTGAAATTTCTACATATTCAATGGTTTAATAGTAAATAGTATATAGTGTATTTTAATTTCCCATTATTTTCAATATGATAAAGTTTATAGATTATATAATATACCTAAAATGTATAAAACATGTTTAATTTATACTGCATTTTTAATATTATTTATTATTGTTAATTAAATAATGTATTTTAAAATTAAAGTACCTACCTATTACAGTAAACCTTTGTGGAGAATATGAGTGCTGTGTGTATAACTATTGTGACTATTATTACAGTTATTAATAGTAATTTGTTGGTATTGAATTAAACTGTTCCTGTTGCTCATTCGAGGGAATATATAAAAATACAAGTACCAAATTGAATTTAATATTTATTTAATAAACATATTTAAAACCTACTGCATATAAAATTCTTATATTAAAATTGTACCTTCAGTCTGAATCTTGTATAAAAAAAAACAACAAATAATCATAGTAATAATAGTACCTATAAATTATTTTTTAAAAACTTTAAAAAAACAATTAAGATAGGTAACTTAATTTAACAAATATCTAAGTAGAAAATATAAGGTTAGTAAGAAGTCAAATAACAAATTTCAAATTTCTTTTTTTTTAATTTTGGCAAATTTGTTGATTGTTTCACCAATGGATACAATAATATTTTTATGCACATGCAGCAAAGCCAAACCTCTTAGTCTATGCCAGCGGTTCTTAATCGGGGGTCCGCGAGTAGGTATTAGGGGGTCCCCGGAAAAAAAGCGTAATGGCGGAAAAATTGAAATTTGTTGTAATTAATTGAAATTACTTGTGAAACTAGTAGTGAAATATTATAAATGTTGTAAATAGGTTTTTCGTAACTTATACGATTTAGTATAAGTGTATAATAAGAGTATAATACTGGAAAACGTGTATTGAGAATAACCAACCAGAAATTTTTGAAGCACTGCATGATTTTCTCAGTGAAACTGATATGAACTTATCACAAGGCATCAAACACCAAATTGTTCAACATTTGAATGAGCTTAAAACAGCTTTTGCAAAATACTTCCCTAAATGTGGAAAAGAAGACCACTGGATTATGTTCCCTTTCAGTGAAATTTATTTCAAATCTGCAGTTTTATCAGCCCGTGAAAAAGAAAAATTGATTGAACTGAAAACGGACTCTTCACTCCAAGCAGCATTTCTTGAAAAAAAATCACTGATCACCTTTTGGGCTAATGTGAAAGACGAATATCCTGAGCTTTCTTACAAAGCATTCAATGTTTTGCTATCGTTTACGAGCTCTGTATTAGTGGAAAGAGCCTTTTCGTCATACACATTTTTTAAAAATAAGTACCGTAATAGACTCTCGGTGAGTTCAGACTTACGAGTTTATTTATCATCCGTAGAGCCAGATTTCAAAAAGTTAAGTGCTAGCAAACAAGCTCAAGGATCACATTAAAATTACATTTTTAACTCAATATTATTTTTTATTATTTATTTTTATACATACAATGTATTGCGCATGTTGATCAAAATAAATCAAATTTTTCATTATTAAACTTATTTCGTAAATTCATATCTATCTTATGTAAAAATATATGACAAATTGGCATTTGGGGGTCCGTAAAGTAGTAGTGAGTGGTCAAGGGGTGCGTGAATGAAAAAAGGTTGAGAACCGCTGGTCTATGCTAACCTATTCTTGATCTTAACCATGTTTTCAATTTAAAAAAATATATTTTTGGCCAATATTTGCAAGTTAAAGAATATGGAAATAGATAATGTTAGTTATTATGATTATTATTTGGGTTAGGGACTTCTATCTCTATAAAATACACAAATATGCAAGCATTTGTGCACAAAAAATTACTAAATACTTATGCACAACAAAAAGTACCAGATATTATGTTGTAAAAAAAAAATAGGCAGGTAAATTTATTAAGGACTTATATAGGTAGCTCTAATAAATACAAAAATATACAATATGCATAAATGCACCAAAAAATGACTAACTAGTAAATACGTGGTAAAAAAAATGTTACTTTAAATTACTTTATATTATCTGATAAATACCTCGATTATGGTTGTAAATGTCTTTAACCGTAGCAATATCTATGGAAGATAATATCACTATTCGTTTCACAACCAAAAATGTTATGATATATGAAGATAAACAAAATTTGATACCCGTGATCAAATTGACATATTATTGAATTTATTATCATATTATAATAATAGACTAGTAATTTATATTCTTAATTGCTTATACATTACATTTTTTAAATAAACCAGTGTATTATATTAAAAAAAAATATGAGCCATGGGGGGAGGGGGGAAATGCCTCCTTCGCCCCCCTTAAATACGCCCTTGACTGAAATCATATCTTTATGAAATTTGATACAAATAAAAAAACATAGTGCTTCAAGCAATAAATTTGTTTAATTTATTTGGCTATAATTTATTTTAAAACGTTTACAAATTTATATTATATATATCTTAGTTATTTAATTTTTAATCTGTTTTACAACACATTTTGTTCAGACATTTTTTTTTTACTTGTAAAAATGCGAATAATGTAGCCTATCTATTTAAATTATACATATAAAAAAAAAATAGTTTCAAGTTTCAATTTCATAAATGTTTCTAAATGTGAAATTTATTGCGTAGATACTAAACATCCATTATAATACCAGACTTTTTTTAACAATTAATATAATTGTAATTAATAATAATAATAATAATAATAATAATAATAATAATAATAGTTAATAACAAATAAACGACTAGATAGAAATAAAAAAAATAAAACAAAACATTATATTTTTATAATTCGTTATTTTCAGTTTTGTTGTATTATTTGACTTACGAACAAAGTAAATGTAAAATAAATTAACGAAAAATAAGCCAAAACATTATCCAACATCTTAATAGATCTTAGACACTTGAATAAAAAAAACATTTGTTGTTCCTTTAGTTTGTTCGATTTGTTTCAAACATTGCGAAATAGTATAACAAACAGTTTTATTTATTAATATTTGTTATTTTTTTATACACTAGCCAACACAAACAGAAATTACATAAACACTTTACAATTGGATGAGATTGTCTGAATTTCTTAATTTTTTTTTTGTAATTAAATTATTATTGTGTACACGGATGATTGTAACAGCTGTGTTGTATATCCTCCATGCCTTAACTATATTTATTATTTTTATACAATACTTAAAAAAAAATCCCTTCTCGAAGGTTGTAACATTATTATAATATTAAAACGCAGTAACAAAATTGTACGTACACCAAAATTTTGCAACACACACTACAAAAAAAAAAAAAACAAATTAAATTTTTCTTTCTTTTTAAATAAAACAATAAAATAAACTAGTCTCTAGTATACAACTAACGTGAGCCGTATGCCGTTAGTGCACACCATTATAATAATGATGATAATAATAATTATAATATTAATAATAATAATAATAATAATAATAATAATTATGAAAATAATAATAATTATAATTATGAAGATTATTATAATAATAATGAAAATAATAATAACAACAACAACAACAAAAATAATAATAATAATAATAATAACAATAAATGATTAGATCTATAAGTTTTAAATATAAATTTATTTAACATGGGTTATGCTAGAAAGTTGCAAACGGTTTTTAACGATAAATTTGTATATACGACCATTTTGAAACCAGCGTTAGATTTAATGGACAGTAATAATAACCCGGTCTGTTTACTCGACTTGCCACCCAGGATAATTGTTGGGCATACTCGCATACGCATTAATTATCAGTAATTATGCTTATAATCGACCACGTATCGTTATATTATTTTTAACGTTGATATTATCACTTGAGTATTCCAGACAAACCGGGCACGAATGATTTCTACTTAATAGAGAAATAAAAAACTGAAAAAATATAACAATAATAGTTATGTACATCAAATGTTGGTTCAAAATGCGACGAATATGTCTCGGACGTCATCGTCTATAGTATAGCATTAGTGAAAAATATTTGAGCGAAGATTTTAATATATTTAGATGAGAATACATATTTAAGAGAAAAAAAATAAAATAATAACATAACATATATATTATACGTTTCGGCTTTTCTTTTTAATTATTGTGATTCGAATAACCAATAAAATCATAATTGCGGGCCATTATTTGTTTGTATAATATACGCGACGAGTTTGAGCAAAATAATTTTCGTTTATTTTCTGTCACGTTTACATTTGTTTTTATTTTTGGCACATTGGGACTACACAAGGTGGTTCATCGTATTTGATTTGGTATTTTGATGATTAGTGGGACGGGGGGCTCAGCAGAGAGATGAGCAATAATTGAAAAAAGGATAAAAAAAAATTGGTTAGGATCTGTGAGAAATCACTCCTCTGTATGATGTGATTGGAAAATGAACGGTTTGAGCACATTCAAAACCCCGTAGGATATTTTTGCAACACAAGCAGTATACATACGGACGTTCGAGACATGTTCGCGAGTTGTTCATTCCAACTTCAAAACTAATCTAAAAATTTTAATAATATTTGTTTTTTTCTTTACTTAAACATCATTAATTATTTTACTATACACAATAGTAATAAATAACATTTCTTTTTTTGGCACTTATACTAACTAAGTTGTATTTTAATAATAATAATAACAACACGATGGTTACAGTACTGTGTATTCATTAATGTTAAATAATAATATTATTATTTTAATTTTAATTTTAAATAACTCCTCTGAAGCAAATTAGTTCTAACTTGAGCATTTTCATCTACAAATCTTTTTTTGTAATTTTTTAAATGTTTATTTTCCACCGTAGATTTCAATGATTTTGTCCTGGTCAACAGTCTCGAATATATGAGGGGCATCCATTAGTATACCGAGAGTGCCGGCGGTGGTGACTATGAAGAACAGGTACAACTGCAGCCGATCAATAACCATCGCCACGTACTTCCAGTCTTCTCTTATCTGAAATCAAAAAAAGGGTGGAAGCAGCACGGAGTGATCGCGTTCCCCACCGTATTGCGTGAATGAGTACTTTACTGTAATCGCAAATATATAATGGTCACTAAACTATTTAAGTGTTGTGACTACTCATGTGCCAATCGTTGAGCACTTGTTTCCTAAACGTGTTGCATTTATAATTTCTATCTGAAAATCGATTTAATCTTTGGTACGGTATAATTTTTAACAAACATAAATAAACTTTAATAATTATATATTATTAGGTACTCTTGATCACAAGTGACTAAGTAGTTATCATTGTTCTCATTATTTATTTTATGTAGTTCTGGTTAAATTGAAAAAAGAAAAAACGATTTAAATACGTTTTTCAAGAGCTAACACGCATGAACCATCATTTAATATTTATGATTATAATTAATTATAACATAGTGGGAAAATTGTTTAGCACTATATATATTATGATACTCATAAACAGTCATGAGCTGTGAAAATTAAATTATTATTTTAAACCATTATCTGTAATGTATGTAAATGTGCACGTTAAAAATACTTGCACTCGTGTTTTATTTCTCTTGAAACTTGAAGTTTTTATATAATTATGTATAAATGCCTATACATTATTTGAAATTTATTTTTTATTTTTGTAAATATAATATTCAGAAGTTGATACTTTACGATATAATATGTTTTATATTAAATCATCAAATAGCAAAATTATTTTTCGGTTTGTTGGTAAGTAAATTTAGAAATGTAATAATTAACTATTATATGAAATTATTATTATAAAAACGCAATATTTTCTAGTATAAAAATCTTGAATTGGCAATTTTCTATTTAATTTTATACGTAATAAAAATAGAAAAAGAACATTTCTAATATATTCTGTAGTTCTTACAATGGGTGACATTTAAAAATTCGGTTTATAATTTACAAATTATTTAGTGTTTCAAATTATTTTTAGAAGAAAAAAAAATATTAATAGAAGTATTTGTTTATAATTTTTCTTTTTATATTAATATTTACTTATAATAGTTTTCTATAAGTCTTCCATTAAAAATAAGAGATTCAATAAAGAAAATAACTCTTTATGTAAGGAAAGTTTAAAAGGGCGGAAAGAGAAAGAAGTAAACTATCTTAATAAAATGTTCTTTGCAATCATAAATCGTTTCTATTTGTAATATAAAATATATCTTAGAGAGGGGAACATGAGAATAAAATTAAATGTGAACAAAAAACATATCATCGATAAAAAATCACCAAAACACATGTTTCCTTTTAAACTACATTGCTACTTGAAACTTAAGTCGGATAACCTTTCACTTGCAAACCAAATATAGAATTCGAATTTAATATGAATATTGGCTTCAAATTTTAACGATACGAATTCGACATAATTTGGTTTTTTGAGCTTCTTTTTATGATGTTCAGCTTACTAATCGATTTTTTTTTTAATTTAAACACAATAAACGTTAAATATACTGTCCTGATTCTGCCAAAAAACAAATCGTTGTGAACCAACACTGGAAAAAGTGATGGTATCGCATTCAATTAGTATGCTTTTTCAAAGTGTTTTGTGACATCCGTTTATTACTAAGGGTGGTAGGAAACGTTGAAAACAATGAACGTATTACTTGATCTTGAATAATGTCAAACGCACTTTCTGCTTTGGAAATAATCAAGAACCGTTGCGCATCATGTTATTATATAGCGATCGTCATCGTCGACGTTTAACCCGCGTGACATCACGACGACGGTAGAATTCGAAAGTGGATATTTTAATTGAATATGGCGTGTGTTGGAGTTCTTGCAAGCTTTTGGTGAAACGCTATTAATTAACATTTAGCTTTGTGTAACTAGAAACACACTATTGCAACGTGTACGATATACTTGAAAAATTTTTTCACTTACAGGAATCGTCTGATCATATTCTGCATTTTTTGGCCAAGTTATATGCAATAAGTCACTACTTATATGTAATATATTCGCATTGAAACGCATATCACGTTAGTAGTATATTGAATATCCGATAAAAGGGTCATATTGATATTATGATAATCAAATAATAAATCGTGTAACAAAATGTAATAAATATCAGCTTGTATCGATTCGTGAATACAATACAGCGCAATTGTATTATACGAATGTACATTAAACGGCGGCATGCTTGGCGACAATAGTAATATCTCTAATGTCTTTAATCTATTATCAAAGTTATACTTGAAAACACATCAAAATATCTTAAAATAAAATGGGTCCAATGCAATTCGTTGCCATGCAACGTTTCGGCGTATCTATCACTTGAGGGCATCTCGGTTAAATAGTAATCATCTCAGATTTATTGAAAATTATAAAATAATCCAATTTTTCAATTAGTATCCCAAGTAGTTGCAATATTCATTATTGGTGAGGAAACAATTTCGATAAATAAACATGTTTGATTTGTTGTACATGTTTTGTAGTTCTCTAAATGTACAAAACCCAAAACAATTTACTATAGAGGTTTTATATAATCGACTTAATCGACTTGAAAACTTGCTCAGTGTATATTTTAAGACTATACTATATTATCAATGCGTATATTTCGATTAAATTTTTTAAAAATAGAGCTGATTACGTTTGACCGTTTCCCGCATAAAATTGTTGGGCTTTAGGAAGTATTAATGTTCGAATAAAACATGTGTTACGAACTTACAGGGTATGAAAATACGTGACAGTATAATAATTGTAATTAAAAACCAGCTATTAGTAATTGAAAGTTCTACCCTTCGGAACACCACATCACTATAAACGCGGTGTTTGCGGAATAGTGTAACACTCAACCGGGCCTTATATGGTTAATAACGTAATTTATCACCTGTATGTATTGATCCTCGTTCCGTAAGTGTTCGGCGATGAACTCCACTGCTTCGGTGGCTTTGGACGCTTCTGGCGACAGGATTAACGAGTCAGAGCTCTCGCTTTCCCGCCGCTCCGCGCTCGCCTTCCGGTTGATCTTGCAGTTGGGATGGTGCAGGTCGGCCAGTTCCATTGCCTCCATTTTGTGTTTGGATGGCGTTGCCGAACTCGGGGGCGCGGGTGCCGGCAGGTCGGATGGCGACGTGTGGTGCGGATGTGGCGGACCGCTCATGCCCGGCATCTCCATCATCCACCGCAGTCGCGTCTTTTTCGGCCGTTTCATGAACATACATGCCGGTAAGTAGTACAGGAACACGGTCCTGATCCATGGCGGCATCCGGTGGGTTCGCGGTCCTGGGAACAGAATCGATACGCAGACGCATACAGGATTAAGACACCTGTGAGTTCCTACATGAACTGTAGGATGTTTGCAGCATCGTTCAAATTCCAGATTAGTAACAAGCATGAAGACGAGGTGACGGTGATGCAATTCACGGTTATGACGGTATAATGTGCATGAGTATCTAACACATCGATCGAGCGCAGAGGTGGATCTCCCTACAACCCCACCACCGGAATAGCGTCAAGAGTCTTGACCGAAATAAAAATGGGAATGGGGGGGGGGGGGTAAAAATCTAGTCATCGCCGAAGTGTAGGAAGTACCCTACATATTTTTTTCAACATATTTTATACAATATATTTGTTTAAAAGTACCTATATCTTTCAAGATGAGTAATAAACTATCATCTTGATTCGCAAGTGTTGAATATTATTATCGAGCTCACAGAAAAGTTGTTTTGTCATTAAACTGATTGAAGTAATGATATATTAATTCAACTGAGAGCGTGAGTAATATAAGATTGACTTCTTTGAAATCATATAATTTTATAATGAAAGAATTGTATTTTTTTTTTTCTTTATAATTGATCATTGAAATAATATTATCAATTATTTTAATTATTTTGTATTTAAAGAAAGTAATTAATGAACCGTCACCAATAATATTATGTATTATTCAATTTTTGATTTTCACTTAAACAGTGATGGCTATGATCAATATTATTTGGCGTCAACTTATTGGTTCGGGAGAGAGTTAATACTAGATCCACCTCCGATCAAGCGATTGGTATTCACACCAAATGATCGATATATTTTATTCTCATATTATATCGTAAACCGTAAAAATTCTCCGTAACCTCGTCTGTATATATGTATATATATATATATATATTTATGTATGTATAGAGATAATAATTAGATATATTAATAAATAAATATAAAATACATATATTATATTTATGTAAGTATAAAAATATATAGCACATTTATTTTTTGTATATTGATATATAATAAATATGTGTAAACGTATAAAATTATATTCATGTGATACGTTTTAAAACGGTCCATTTATGAAATTTGTTTTACCAGATTGTCATGTTACCACATAGCATAGTTACTCTGAACATTTTGAAAAAATCGAAAGTATGATCATCTCATTTTATTGTTATGACTATGTACATTTCATTTATTATAATTTTTCCATTATAATTATTATAAATTAATTATTATAATATAATATTTTGTACGCAGGAAAATTAATTGGTATATTGGTTTTACTTTGTTAAAAATGTTTAGGTGTTCTATAATATTAATTATTTTCGGAATCTTATAATTTATTTATAAATGTTATTATTGAGTTAATATTTCACCTAGGATTTAGCTAGTTCTTTTATGCATCATATTTATCTTCACATATTTAATTGTTAAAAATGTAATAAGTTAACGAAAAATAATTTATTGTTTATATGTTTATTTTTGTTTAAAATATAGCTGAAGAAAAGATATAAATCGTTTCATTGATCCACTTTTGTAGATTAGGGCTCAGAATTTAATTTCACTTTAAATATAGAATTGTAAATATATGTTTACAGACATTTTATATTTAATTAATAATCTAGTTTTTAAACAAATATTAAATTTAGTTATATAACTTTTTTTAGCTAATAGTTACTAAAAGTTTATATCTGTTAATATTATTTTGAATATCATAGAAAGCATTAATAATGTTAAAATTATTATTTGTTATTAACATTTTAGTTAAAATGTAGTTCAGTACTATATAGTAGTTTTATTTAGTTTAAAATATACATATTATACTCCACTTGCTTATTTAATTAGACAAATGTATAAAAAATGGATTTTAATATGATTACTTTTAGTGTAGGTAATATTTGAAACTGAAAATAAATGACTAGTAAGATTTCAGTTTTAAATGAACAAATGTAAAACAAATTAGTAAAAACTGAAATTGAATAAAACAAAGATTTAGTTAATGTTTCGATCGCATGAGATATGTAAGCATTCGATATATTTCTATCTTATAGTAAACAGAACAATATAAACTTATTATTAATATTATTATTATTATTCTTTTGTTTAGAACTTCGTTGCATAAGAAAATATGAGATATTAAATTTAAGCGAAATGAAGAAATGTTATCTATCAACTACTGTGCATTTATTTTTTTAGTTTTATAACTTCTTAGGATGGAATAAACGGCAGATACGGGACGTTACTACAACTGAATATGTTTATAATTTTATTGTATTGGTTTAACAATAATATAATTTTATATAAATCTTGGAACAAGGTATTTGTTTTTAAATAGAAATACAATAATACTTTTTATACTTTCACATAAACTTCGGAAAAATATGTCGACAAAAAGTATGACTTTATTCTTTTGTAGATAAATAAAATAAGTCATGAAAACGGTTGGCAACAAACTTTTGTTTATAACACACCTATATATTATTTTTGTATTTTTTTATTTTCCGATTTTGCTTATTAATAAAACTTTATTATATTTTAAAATAATTATTTTTTACTATACAGTATAGTTGAAATTTTACTGGATTTGCACTGCAAAATGTGTAAAATATGCTTATTTTACGTGAACTAATATTGGAATTACATTTAAAATGCTGTCCTTTAACATTAATTAATCATACAGTATTATATTTAAATTGATGGCTGAGAAATTGTTATAATACAAAGTATTTTCTATCATTTGAGCCTGAACTACACAAAGGCAGAGGTTTGGTTTTATTTAATGAGGGACATGCAAATATTATGTATTATTAGATATTTTAAATGAATTGTTTTAAATAATTATAGTTAATAACAACTTTATTAGATTTATAATTCAGATTAACGTATATTTACGTGCAAGGGAGGTTAAAAGAAAAGAAAAGAAAAAAAAAGAAAAAAAAAGAAAAAGAAAGCACCTGCAATAATGTCCTAAGGATAAAAATAAATACTATGAATATTTCCCTGTGTATTGACTGGTTAACGTTAATGAATGACCTTCGATATGTATATACCATCTCGGATGTTTGACATCAGTTACATGGGCCGTTGATCAATTATTGATTGCTGTGGTATGCTATGAATTTCAACAGAGGATGCTTGGTATGTATAAGGAAAACGAAGTGAGTAGAGGACTAGGGGAAAAAAAAATCATAATTCATGATTTAAAACTGACGGAAAAACGGGCAGCGGCCGATGTTCCAGAGAACCGCTACCGTCGTACGTATACGTTTATAATATGGTACATGCCCTCGCTCTTATCACTGTATATGAAATCGAAAGCGTCTTCTGAACAACGAGACATGACAATCTCATGGTATCCGAAGAATCTTTGTGGAAACGACGTAAACACGATGGAATGAAATAGGAAAACAAACGTGTCTTGTGCAGAACTGAATATATGGAGGATGTGGTGAATGGTGGTGGACACGCATATATGCATGCACACACACACATACGCCATATTATGTATAGCATGATTTTAAGCACATGCATGGATAGCAGAGGACACGCCCGTCCTCGAATGCCAAGAATTATTGGCTTGACGTTCACTGTACATTTTTGTGGCTAATCCTTTTGATCGCCACGCTCGGGTCCTCAGTTAAGTCTCACACAAAGCGTAATATGGCATTTTTGTGATTATTTATCATATATATATATATAGGTATAATGATACTGGCAAATTATAACGTTTCGTGTGTCATACAGTCGGTTGTATTACAGCTTTATGGCTGTTATTTTTAGAAAAGGGTAGTTTTGGCACCGTCCAGATAATGTAGCTGTATAGCGTACTGTTTTAAAATGATACACACACACACACACACACACGCGCGTGGTTTCCATTCATATCAGTTTAATGGGTTTTCGTTCTGGCTGCCGGACCACCACCGCCGTCTACGGTCTCTGCTCCTGTGGATCCTGCTACTGCATTGAACCCCCTTCTTCGTGGCGACAGACTGCGTGAAAAAAATCGTTCACGTATAGTACTCGTTCGCGTTTTATACACACACGATGACGGAAGCGAGTTGGACGGCAGTTTAATATATTGCATAAACGTACATTGCAGTTCTGCACGACAGTCCATATAGGTACGCATGGCGGGAGGAGGTATTCGGGGTGTTTAGCATCGTCAAGTTTAATATTAACCCTCCCAGAGTCCCTGATAAAATTATTGTGAACATTTAAATAATGGATATAAGTAACAAAACATTATTTTAACACCCCCAAATTGAATTCCTTATGTACGACCTGACTTAACTTTCAAAATAATCCTGTGCCAAGGCAATAATACGCGATAGGGTACACGGTACGTAGGGTTTAATCAACGTTTTCATCGATCACGGTCACTAACCTCTGAAATTCCAGTTGATTATTATAACAGTGACCAATATGCTGACGGTGTTCATGATAAACGTGAATAGTAAGTATTTAGCGATGAGCGGCAGTACTAGAGAAGTGGGTGGCAGTATTTTGGAGACGAGCAATAGGAAGACGACTAGTGACAGTAAGATGCTGATGCCCAGCGTGACCTTTTCGCCGGCTTCGGCCGGCAAGTAGAATACCAGCACGCACAAGAAAGATATGAGGACCGTGGGCAGTATCAAGTTTACTGTATAGAATAGAGTTTTTCTTCGAATCACTATGTAGAACGTTATGTCCGTCTGGGTGGGCGACTCCTCGTACACGTTCAGATACGCGGGTACCTAGAACACATATAAGTTGTGAAAAATTCACATTTTCATACACGTTATTTACTTGTGTATAATATCATTGATTATTAATACTATCGTTTATAGTTACTGATAGTACAAATTTACCGTATGAATTATGCACATTTTATACATTACCGTAGCAATATGTATTTTCGATATTTAATTTTAATTCTAGATAATATTTATTTGATGCCTTAAATCGTAAACGGAAGCTGAATGTGAACATTTAAAGTGATATTGAAAAATAATTTAAATAATAATTGTAACGCAATAAAAAATATTGTACTGTTTTAATTATATTTTCTAAGAGGTAGCAAAACAGTAAGTTATGTCTCCAGAAATTCATTGTTTAATCGAGTAATAACAATAATCAAATGAACATCTATTAAGTTAAATTGCTATCCTTTTTTTTTTATGACTATACACATTATTTTGTTTTTAAAGTATGTTGTTATATTTTTTAGTCGGATATAAATTATAATACCATGTTCCGCATCAACTGAAGTACAGTTGAAATATGTGTAGCACGTTTTGTTTTGTTTTGTATTTATGTTATTCCAGTACATATAGATAGTATATAATAATAACCAATAAGTCCTTGGTTGAAATCACATACAGAATTCAATATTTTAATCCTATTGAAATGTATGGATATATTTTTTTTAACTTTGCTTATACGCGTACAATAATATGTAGTATTTGCATCCAAAACATTACTGTTGTATTTTTAAGTACTATGAATATCATGTTTATTTTTTTTGATCATAAACCTAGTAAGTCCAAATCTAATGATTTATTAATATTTTATGCATTATAAAACATATATAATGTAAAATAACATAATATATAAAATCAAAAAAATCAATTTTTAACTGATTAAGCAATTAAATGAGTAGTCGGGGGTGTATTGGTAATTTTTGAATAAAAAATAACAAAAAAATAACTGTAGATCGATTTTTGTTTAGGAAATCTTAAGTTCACTGGTACTAAGAACTGATACTAAGAACAAAAGTCTAATAAACTAAATATATGATTACCGAGTAATATACAGCTTGTATAACCCACATATAGCTAACAAGACTGTATAGTATTAAATTAATAGGGAAATTATTGTATATAAAATAATAATCTCTTTGGGCTCTAAAATGGTAAACATTATATTGTAAAAGGGTTAAATTTAAAAATGGTATTAATTTACATATTATTATTGTAGTTCATCAATAAGATAGAGAAAGTACAAATACGAAAAAATATACTTTATCGAAGATAACTTCAGAAACACACCTAAGCTTAGTACTAGAAAAATATAATATTAATAAATAATAATAAATGATTCTGCGACATTGTATTACATTGTTTTAATATAGTAGTAATAATGATAATTATAAAATTTATATATCATATTTATTGATTGTAAAATTATTAATAATAATTACTTTCTCTCCGATAACAAAATTCTAATCAATTGTCATTCAAAATTTGGAAGAAATACAAAAATCATTATTATATCATTATAATATATTTAGAGCAAAGTCAAATGTTATTACTTTTATGTGTATGTGTATGACCTTTGTATCAATATTAGTATTTTTAGTAATCAAAATATATAGATATGTAAATATGTGCATAGGCGTGCGCATAGGGGCAGCGAGATGTGCTCTTGCTGCCCCTGGATGGTTTGAATATATTTGTAAGGGCCGAACTGTAACTGCCACACCGGTAATGCTTAATACAAAATAAGTTGGTTATCCAAAAAGTGTATTGCTATCAAGCTAATCTTTTCTGTGTTTAAACTTTAAATAGGTTTTGAAGCTTAAATTTGAGCTTAAAAATGTTAACTTAATACTCATGTATGAGCCGGTAAAAATATTCGTTGCCTCCGACTTGAAACTTTGCGTACGCCTATGAATATGTGTATTAAATATATCTAATAATTTAATAAAAATCCAGATTCAAGATGGGATTCTCAAATCAAAAATCTTATGGTTTATATCGACAAAAAACAGTTCCCATTATTTATTATAGAACTGTCAAAGTACAAATTATCTATATTTATTGTTATTATTATTTTTTTAATGTTAATGTATAAATTAACTATAACCATTTTTACCAATATTACCATATTTTTCTTTTGTAGAATCGATGTTTCCGTACTGTAAAAATAATATAATCGTGTCAATTTATACCTCAATTATATCCCAAGTGCCGGATTTCCAATAGTCAGACAGATCGACAAACTGTTTGTCGTTATATAACGCTAACGATACTTGATCGCCATTAAATGTCCAAGAGCCGAATTTCATAATGCAAGTCTGTTGATCAAATGGAAAATACGTGACGTCTATGGTGCATGAGCTCTGCGAACAAAAAAAATATTATTTGAATATTAAACAGTTTTTATTAAATAAATTATACGTTTTTAATTAAATCCATTGTTTTTAACCAAGTATGATAGTTTCATAAACATCAATATAATCATTCACGAATTCAAACGGTAAGAATTTCTTATTTTCATACGTTTTATCTATGATATTATATTCTATAGTGTCACATCTAATTTTATATACATTTTCATTGCACTTGTTTACGAGCTTAAATCAGTGAACAAATTATGTGATAATATTCATCTGTTTTTGATATAGTTGTTTCTCATAAGTTCTCAAGAAAAATAATGTATTTATTTACACCTATATAATATTTATGTATTAATTCACCGGAAAGAAATAATACTATACCATACATTGAGCTGTATAAAAAAACATTTTTTTTTTAAACATGTTGTATTCAAATAAGTAAAATAAGTATAATATGATCTTATTATTCTGCATCATCGGCTTTTGTTCTGATATTTTGCAAAATAAAATATTCATTCATTCGTGTTTCTTTAATGTTTACAGTACAGTGGATGTAATTATCTATTTAATACTGGCTTATTTTATTAAGAAAACCTATATAATAAATTATATATGAGTATAAGTATCCAACACAAGTTTATATCTAATATAAATACATACAACATAAGTAAATTTACAAAACTACAACTTAATCTTTAAATATTAAATTCATAACGTTTCTCAGTTAGGTTAATATTTTCAAATTAAAAACAAATCTTATATCTTATTAATGTTTTGAATCATATAATACAATGTGTGTATATTTTTATTGTTTATACGGTTTAACATAGCCTTTTCTTGACAATGCAACGCTTTTATTTATTTAAACAAGTTTTCATTCATTACTTCGTATAATTGAATTTTATGATGATTTATTTTTGATGAAGTTTACGTTTCAAGACTGTCTACATAAATTTGATATTGGGTGCTTATAAATAATTTAACCGGGAAAATGAAATTAATATTTTGGAATATAAGTGAATCAAAAACCTATTAGTTTGGCAATTATGTGTTTTTTCGGTCTACTGTGCTGGTAAGCATGTTTTCAAGTTGAACTCTATAAGCTTTGAGCTGTTCCCCTATTGTTCAATCAAATACAAATTTATCACACTTGGATGGACAGATATGAAACTACAGAAAAAATTTTAAAAACTTAAAAATTATAATTATGCATAATGATAAAAATTATTAAAACGCAATTGAAGTCGTTACAATATTCTTAAATATCTGATATTGTTGTTCATTATTTTGTTGTTAACCGAGTAAGTTGATTAACATTTTCAAATGTAGTATTACTACTTAATAATTGATATGTATATTATTTTTAAAATATTTATGGAGATATTTTTTAATAATACAGTAGTTCATGGGAAAATTGCAAATATGTGGATTTTACTTAAAAAAATATTTTAAAAAGAAATTTTTTTCGGTAAAATTATATAATCATTATATTATATTTATTTTTGACGAAATAGATCAATCTTTATAGTATGTCTACATATCAACTATCTAATTTATTTATTTTGATTCACTAAAAAAAGTACCTAGTGAAAAATTTTATTTGATGAATTGACTCTATGAAAAAGTATAAGGTATAGCTTTATTACCTATGTTATAAATTTGTATAAGCCATTTGGGTCTAATAATAAAAAAAAAAAAATGCATTAATTTATTTTTCTTTATAGGGGGTCAATAAAAATGTTCAGATAATATAATTGTATTTTCATTGATAAAATTTTAATTTTTATCGAAATTAAGTATACTGTATTTAGTAAAATTTAGATTTTTTAATATTTGTTTGCATATAAATTAAATATTAACTCTTATATTATTTTGTTTTCTTTTTTTTATTGGTTATTCTTTTAAATCGACTAAACCAACTAAAGCTGTTATATTATTAGAAAATCATAAAGAAATTGAAGATCATAATTGGTTAGTACGATTTACACAGAATACTGTATTTTATAATATTAAATATTGTGTCAGAGTAGTTCTTTTTGAGTCGTTCATAATTTACGTTTTGTTCGTTATTTATTTATAAAAATTCAATGTAACATGGTATTATACGCATCACAGAAACAATATAATTCGGACTAATTTAAATAATTATTACATTAAAATCGTATTGTGTAACGGTTATTATAAAGTATTGTTTATTTTTTTAAGTAATAATTAAAATATTATTATGATATTTTTATTTGATTAAATATTGATGCACCCTCCAAAACGTGATAAACTGCAGTTGTTTAATATTTATCATTCAATTGAATAAATCGCAGAACTTTTGAACAATAAAAGTACGGAAAGAGAGACCTTTTTTAAATTGATAACATTATAATATAAAGTGTACGAATAGGATAAAAAAAAAATTTTAATTGATTCATGAATAGTTTTTGTGTATATATTTATATCTTTTTGAACCTTACCACCGAATCACGTTCTATCGTGAGGTCGATTAGGCAAAGACAACGACGTTGTTATTGACGATATAAATTGCTATTACAATACTCATCAATTTTTCTTCTCAGTTTTTTTTTACACATGTGATTGTGTGCATGCGTTTGTGGAACCTATTCGATATTAGCTTTTATTTTCACATATAAACGAGTCTTACGGTTCAAACAGGATCTTAAATTGTGGTAGAAATCACCTCGAGGGGTTGATGAGAGCGGTTATGTGTGTATTTGTTTTACTCTTTCTCTCTCTCTCTCTCTCTCTCTCTCTTCTTACCCTTCGTCCAATATCTTTTGTCGCTCAACTCAAGCCCCATTTCCTCCTCACTCACTTGCACTTTTTCATTGTACGTTTCCCGTTCGTTTTTATTGCGACCGCATCTGCAGCCGATCGAACGTAACACTACACAGCACCAGTGTGTATGAAAACGCGTGTTCGTTTGCGTGTGCGTGCGCGACAGAGGTGGTGGGTTATTGATCAAAGGTCAAACAGACAACAGCGGGACGGATTGACGGTAGTTGAAAGGCTGGAAAATCGTTTCTGCACTCCGTGCGCCAACCGTCTACTTCGTTTCGCGCGGTAGACACGGGTGGACGGAGGCGTCCGCTGATGGCCGGAGGGTGATGCGTGCGCGCGCCCGACCGCCCACACCGCCGCGAGCGAGCATTTGTCTCCGGGCGGCATTTATCTCGACGGCGGCGGCGGTAGCGGCGCCCGTTTAACTCCGGCGGGTGGCGCGGGTATTATTAAATCGCGAAAAGCCCAGCGGACGCGTTTTCGAGAAATTCGCCGAAAAATTGCCGACGCTTTCCGACAGCTGCACGCGCTGCGTATTATTAATGACACTACTCTTCCGCGGCCGACCTTTTGATTATGACGTATTTCTGACCGGCACCGTTGCCACTTGCCGCCGCCCGTTCCTTGACAACCGTTAATAACCACGTTTGGCGTGTACCACTCCTCTCCGTGCCGATTATTTTCATCGTATTACTGCGTCGTCCGCGGTTCGATTGGTATCTACTGGTACCGCGATCGGAACCCGCTCCGTCATCGTTTTGGTACGCGACGTGCATTTCGATGTTAACGGAATTAGCACGTGAGTGTGATAACGAGAAAACCAAAACGTATCCGAAACAGACGTTACGTTGCGCATCTTAAGTTGGACACAAGAGATGCCACGGTTTGTTGATGATGTTTTATGAACGGTGCGAATGGCGTACGCGAGTCATCAACGTATCGATACTTAAATCAGGAATACGGGTGCAATTTTAGGATTTTATAGTTAGTCAGTAAAAACTGTCTAAAGCGGAATCGCATGGAACCAACAATAAATTCCGCTTTAAGCAGTTTTCCGCTTTATTCAATAAAACGGAAAAATTCCGGATTATTCAATTCAAATAAATACCAAAGAATATTTTTTCAAATTATTGTTTTAAATAATATAATTCATTAAAATTTAACGAAAATATAGGTTTTACAATTTATTAAATTTAAACTGGAGTATAGGGATGTACTATCAAAACAATATCTGATAAAAAAGATTTTTATTATATTTTTTATTAAATATTTTATTCGACCTTTATGCAATATAAAATGGTAAACATTCTTATACTTATCATGCATGATGCTGTTGCTGTTATTTTTTTCACAAATGGCTTTTTCCTTTTTTTTTTAATCGTCAAGTTTTTTTTATAAATATATTTAAATGTACCATTTGATTTTGGTGCGGGCGGGTTTTAGCAAAAGTTTAACCCTATAGTCCGCGACATGAAAAGTGGCCGATTTGTACCTCTACCCGTTGCGGCTTTCCTTCCTGTAAGCCATTGGATCTCAACCTATATCGCCTACTGCCCGGTGCCCGGCGGTCGTAGTGCCGCACGCCCTCGCGTAATGTGTATTTCATACATATACTCCGTACATTATAGTAGACTAGTTTTTTTTGTGCACCCTAAGCGGATATTCTGGAATGCCTGGAGGGCAGCTGCAGAATGTAATATGAGTAGGAGATACAGTGATCAGGGCCGTCCTGAAGATGAAAATCAAGGGGGAGGGGGTGAGTAATATGAAAAATGCCGGCTACAATTTTTTTATTAAATATATGTAGTATAATTAATTATAAGTAGTCGTATTTTTACTTTTTAACATGTGTATATATGTGTCACACGTTCTTAAAATTGACAATTTAATTTTATATATATAGTTATATTTTATATTATATAATAAGTAGTTTTATAACTTTTATTCGTTTATACACTGTATTACGAAATGTGCAATATTTATTTTCTGTAAGTAAAATCAGGTCCTTCTAGGCTATAATGAAACAAGTCCGACTGCTGACTGGTGTTTTCGTTGGGGGTGAAACACCTCCCAAGAATGCCCTTCGGTACGGCCCTGTCACTGATGCTCATAATACAAACACTCTTGTTTTACATTTTTGTATGTTGTGTACTGTGTGTTCGTAAACAATAATTTTTATACACTGTTTTTTCCCCTGCGTTACCGTGTAATCC